TTGCATTTAAATTCAGTTAGATAGAGGCAAGCAGGTGTCCTTCATGCCTTAAGCGAGGACAGGTGAGCTTGGTAACCGCGCATTTAGTTTCCCATTATTTTTTTCATTTTTTCCCTTTTTATTTATTCCAACTACAATTAAGAGGTCATCTGCACACACTACGCTAGCCTCGTTTTGAAGGAGGAAAAATGTTGCGAGTCTTTCACGGACGACAGTTCAGTTGCAGTATTCGGCCTTTGTGTTTCGTTTGTTGTTTGCCTACCCAATTTTATTCCCGGTGGATGGAGGTCTGTTTTGCTGGAAATTTCGGAATGGTACTCTAAAAATAAAGCGCTCACAATAGGAGCCTGGCTTTCCAGTGGCCCGAGTCCATTGGATGGGGAGTGCAAAGTCACCGTGATGAGGAGCAGAAGTACCCTGAACATCCCTGACCAATAGAGGAAACGAAAAAACAGCATCGTGTACTTGAGTTGCTTCAGTTGCGGAATATTATCATTGGTCTCCGTTTCATCTGTGACACTGAACGTTCTGCCTTCATTGCAAGCAAAGGTGTGTTCTCCCAACCACGACCAATCAAAGTTAACACACAGCCAGTCAATGCACTCGTTGCGAGCACGAAGGACTTTGAGGCAGTTAGCCTTGAGCAAGGACGACGGACACGGCAGTGTTGGACATCAACTATAGCTTTTCGCACCTTTCTCGCATTGAGTCTCGACTAACGCCCAATGGCCTTACGAAACATCATGAAGAAGATTAAATTTTGGGGGGACAACACGTCACAGAGGCGATGAACACAGCAGAGCTGTGCTCTCTCAATCACGAAGAATCAAAGTTAACATAGTGTTAGTCTCCCCATTTGACAACTCTAACTGGTCTTAGAGGACTAAAGTTTCGTGATGGGCCCGGGTCAGGAGCACTTTGCAAGCTTCAGATGAGGTTATGTAGGCATATGGCAACTGCCTCCATTGTTTTTACTATATGTTGACTGTGCATGTTCTTTGGCTCGCCAATGTTCGGTACACAATTTATGTCTATCTGATGACCAGCGCACATGATGTGGGTTGAACAGCTTTCGGAGCCGAGCTTGTGGCTCCCTGACTAAGTCAGGCGTTGTTCACGTAACCTCTCGGAGGGACGACTTGTTGTTCAACCTACGTGCGCTTATCTTCAAGTACACATTATATACATTATATTATATGATATTGATGATGTAACTTACCATACGAACAGCCCAGGTACTAGCCAAAAGGCCCAGACACCTGTTTCGCCGGTATTCTACCGCTATTTGACACAGCTGCGAGGAATCCGGTTCATCATTGCTTTCCCAGCTTTCCTTGTTTGCTTTCTGGTTGATGGTGGTATGATATATTGCTGATAGATATGGCTCTATGATACACATCGAGCGTGATCTTGAAAATATAACGGTTAGAATACGAAGCGCAGTATACGTTTGTGTGGCAGGGAACGCGGGCGATTGCATTTTTGTGCAACAGGAGGAGCTAGCCGCTCGAAGATGACCATCAGTGAGCTTACAAAAACCACAGTCGCATTTTTGTTTCAGGAACAGACAGGTGATGGGATCATTGTTGTTGATGTCTGAGTGGTGGTAACAATGTCGACCAAATCAATCACTCAGTTTTTTCCCCTCCTTTTTTTCAGCTGCTGATCTATCCAGATTTGTGCCTCTACATCCGCCCCAGTCTGTTCAGCCCGCAGGTAAGGGATCCCATTTTTTGCCCACTTTTCTTTGTCCTACTGACTTTTTGCTGCCCTCTAAAACGGTTGGGAGGCGGTTGAAAGTTCCTGTAATTACGAATTTTTGGCCAGAAAACGCGTAAGACGCGTTTGAAGGAGCTGAGAGTCCAACACGGGTGTGTGTGTGTCTACCTCTGCCACCCTGAAGTGTGGTGTAAGGCACGAAAATGGCGAGGGCAGGGGGCCTTTACGAGGAGAAACATGGGGTTGAGAAGTAGACACGATGGCTCGGACAAGGGATTTATTCGTCGTTTCGGATTCCAGCTCGAACCCGGCATCAGACGAGTTGCAGCAGGCAATCGCTAGACTACGGCATACCTATGACCATTAACGGCTCCTCCGCCTTCACCAAGTATGATGGCCTTCTGTTGCGCT